TATCGAACAAGTCATATTTTGGATCGTTGGAGTCACGGAAGAACCTGCGGTTAAACTTCCAGCAATATTCATTTAGATACAGCTGTAGGAATCTTCCGTCAATCTCCTTATGGATAGCGGCAATGCCATTTCGACACTCACCTATTATTATATGTACCCAAGGTAGTCCCTTCTTTACCACTTCGTCCACGTTTCCCTTCTCTACGATTGGAATATGCTTAGCAAAGTTCTTGTCCAAGTTCACATGTGAGGAGGAACCGTCGGAGAGAATGATAGCTTTTGCATCCACGTTTTGTGCAAGCAGCTCATCAATGGTAGAAGCCTTCAGGTCGTCAATGGCAAACATTTTGATGTAATGAACCACCTTCTTCACAGACTGCCTCTTTGACCGTTTGGTAAGCTTTGCAGCCTTATCCATAGCTTACTGTGCTCCATCACAGTGCCTTTTGTCAAGGGAGTCCGATGACGACAAAACTTGCATTCGAAGGCCTGTTTCCCTCTAAGCCAATAGTATTCTGTATGACCACATTTCGGACACGCTCCAAGTGCTTTCGAGCGAACATCCTTGAAATAATCTATACAACTGTCCTCTGTAGGAAAACGATATTCGAATTGACTGAGCAGCATAACTTATGATTTTGCCGCAAAGGTACTCACTTTTCCCGAGGTACACAAACTTTTAGGAACTTATCACCNAATGGCAAACATTTTGATGTAATGAACCACCTTCTTCACAGACTGCCTCTTTGACCGTTTGGTAAGCTTTGCAGCCTTATCCATAGCTGTTGGGATGTCCTTTGACTCCAAATATGCCCTTAGGATGTCGTCAACCGCCTTACTTTCAACGATTACCAAGACTTTGGATTGCCTTTGGCTTCCTGCTCCGCGCTTCATCGGCTCTGCTTTTTCGTCTGCCTCCATCCGCGTTGGGAAGAAAGCCTCGTCCAGTTCAACAGTACCGGAGAGTTTGTATATGCTCTCACGTTTGCCCATGATGTTACGTAGCTTCATCATCATTAACCACACAGGAGGATATTCTGGCATGTGCAGCTGATGCTGCACTTCTTTGGCAGAAAGCACTTGCTTGATTGAAGTCATTAGATGCATCGTATAAAACCATGTGCGCATTGGAAGCTTACTGTGCTCCATCACAGTGCCTTTTGTCAAGGGAGTCCGATGA